GAGCATAATGACTAATTTAAGACTTAATTCAACTTTGCCCATCAAAGATCACCCTCATCAATTTTCCACCTCTAGATTATATTGGGTGTTAATTGAGCTTTATTGAGCTTATTTGTTAAGCCATGATGTCAAATGAAAGAGAGAGAGAGAGAGAATTTTAGATCCCATTGAAAATTCAAAACATAAAAAAATTATAAATAAAAAATAGACACGCAACCAATTCATATATATCATCAAAATCTTTAAAATTATCATATAAGTACCTCTATTTATGAAATATCCATCAAAATTTTTAAATTCATAATAAAAAAAAATATTAATTTTCATTTGTAATATTTTATCAAATTCTTAATGATTTAATCTTACCAAATGCAATCACACAAATATAATATTTTTTACTTAGCTTATTTGATAATTCTCCTAAAAATAATAATTTAATGTAATAGCCCACTCATCAATTGCCTACTCCCGATCGCATCCGGTGTGAATCGGGTTTTGATTGGAGCTTAATTTTCTAAGCCATGATGTCATTAGTTTGGCGACCCTTATCAAGAAATCAAATAAATAAATAATTATAAACTATATTTTTTTTTTTCTCTTCTTCTTCCCTATTCATGTGGGCCACAGTGGCGTAATTGGGCCTGTCAATTTCAGCTGCCGGATTAGTAGACTTCGGACAGCGACGGGCTTCTGTCTGGGCCGCGTGCTTCGGTTCGTCCGTCAGCGGCCGGCCCTTTTGTCGCCGGCGCTTCACGTTTTAGGTATGATTATGTGGCTAATTGCAATTACTAATTAGGCTTAAACTTTTGATCGATACAGAGATCTTATCATTTTGCACCTGAAAGCAACCAGAAGCATTGTACTTTCATTATCTATCTCTCCAAGTGGTGGTGGGTCTTTTTGTACTTTCCTTTTCTCTCTCCAAGTGGTACAGAGAAGCTTTTCAAATTACATTTATTCAATGCGTTTGTGGGGCCCTCTATCGCCACCTCCATCTTTAATGGTGGCGACTCCTTTGTCCTTTGATGATCTGATGAGAAATATAAAATAACTTTATTTGATTTGTATGGAAACCTACCCTGAAGAACTTTATGGATATTAGTGTGTGATATTAATGTGGATTAATTTGAGGTTAAATGATTAAGCTCATGCTTTCTAAACACAACTACATTAGCATTCTAAGGGTTTGTTCGGACGACTTTTTTACGACTTATTAAATCAGTCTTTTAGTACAGAAATAAAAATTTTGAACTAAAAAGCTGCTTAAGAAGCAGTAAGAAAATCATCACAAACAAAGCTTAAATGATTTAGGTTTCGTTTGAACAACTTTTTCTTGCTTTCTAAAACACTATTTATTACTAAAATTTTTAGTTTAGAAAATTTATGTGCTATTTTTTTAAGAAAGTTATCTCAGATGAAGCTTTAGTCAAAATTACGTTCTCAATTTGTATTAGTTTAAGTTAAATGTATAACAAGTTGTTTTCAAAGACTAAAGTCATACTTACTAAAAGTCGAATACTTATAACACATGAAAGTTTGATGAACAACTAGTTTGAAGGTATTTGATTGTGGTAGATAGAGGAGGATTTCATTTGTATGAAGAGAGTAATTAATGCTTTAAAAAATAAACAAATTGATTTTATCTTCTTTCTTCACATATACATAATCATCATCATTATCATTAAATTTCTCATATTAAATGTGACGATAAAATTGATGTATAATGATATATGCTGACCAAGATGATTTATATTAGTATTTATAGGTAAATGGACTCTTTTATAATATGATTTTGATTTGTGCAAATTTCACAAATAGTGAAGAACTAAGGGGTATGTAGTAGATTTGACATTATTGCCCCCTTTGGCTGTCATTAACTAATTATTCAAATTAAATTATCACCAACAACTACATTAGAGAGGCCCTCCCCACAATGATAGAGAGACCTCATCATTGCTTTATAAGTTATCATTATGATTGTCATTGGATACCTCAAGGTTAATATATATAGTAGCTTTTGGGTTCATAACATGTTTTATTATAGTTCATGTTCTATTATGCTCTCCTTTTACTTCATGATGGTATGTACATGAAGGGCATCAAAACATTATGATGTTCTTGTTATGTGTAGAATCTGATTGTGTTGATCAATCGGGTTGACCAATTTCTTCGGACCTCAAGTTTCTTGTGCTCGCTCGGGAATTTAATTGAGTTGATCAATTTATTGGTTTATTCCAATTAAAAAAAATTCGTACAACATTCCAACACTGTGTACTTGAGCACCTGGCACTATGTTCTCGAGCGTCACAACTGTCTAGATATGACGCCGTAGTGGATCAAGACAGGGTTTGGGCGTCAAAGCACTCGAAACTGGCGTCGCAACAGTGCATGACGGGCTGGACGGTTTTCTTTCTAATTTTTTCTGAAGGGTTGCATCCCTTGGAGTTATTTAACTTGGCTTTCTCCTTTATTTATGTCAGTAAGATATAAAGAATGGTGTATGTGAGAAGAGAAGCCAGGGGAGAGTGAGAGAAAAGAGAAATATGTATTTATTTCTCCCAATTTTCATAGTGAATTTCTTGGTGTAGCGTGGCTTCATAGTTTTTTTTCCTAATTTGAGTTTTTTTTTCACGTTAAATCTATGTGTCCTTTACTTTTTGCTTCTTTTATTTTCTTACTTGTTTCTTCATTGTGGTGTTTACTCCTCATCTCCAACAGTTCATTTAGATATTTTCTAAAGTCAAAATCTAGCATCGATCATGCTCGTTCGTAACAAATAAAATTCTAAGAACTTCATCAATTAAAAGAGATGTTAATTCAACTCTAGATTAGAGAATAGTTTCATAAACTATTTGAAACACTCATCATACTTTTGACAACATCAATATGGTTTCTATCACAACTAATCAGAGGGGGGTCCCATTATATCCCAGAGGAGCTATTACTCTACCTCTATTATTATTAGTCAATCATTATTATGTATGTCACATGATTAGCATCCACATGGGCGCCTAAGTTATAGGAGGATAAGAACAAAAATCATATGAGAAATTTCATATAAAAAATCCGATGAAAAAATTCTTCATTGCCACAATGAGATTTATATTTACATACCTTCTATCATTTAAAAAAAAAATAGATATATTTAAAATCAAATAATTCTCAATACAATATGATTGTTGATAAGAGCATTCTTATATAACTTTCTAGAAGGAATTCATTATATTTCTATCGGAAGGGTAAACCAATACCTACCATCAAACCAAAAGCTTTATTCTTTGTTCTAAATAACTAATCATTAATTCTGTACAAATCTAAAATGACATGGAATTGATTTTTCACCTTTATTTAAGGCGCCATTTTGGATAGCTTTCTTACTTCTTTCAAAAATATTTTTTTAGTACAAAAATTTCTAATTCAAGAATTTTTTATACTAAAAAGTTATTTTAAAAAGTAATAAGAAAACTGTCGACCCAAATGAAGCCTAAGTATATCATAGAGTGCTTCTCAAAAGCAAAGTAAGCGCAATAACATTTTTTTTTGGAAATTAAGGGCAGTGTCCAAACACACACAATATATACGCGAGACTTGAACTGAGGATCTCTAAGTTGGGAGGAGCCAAACTCCCAACCAACAAACCAAAAAGAGATGTGTAGTACAATTACAATGATTACAAAAGTTCGACGGTGATAAATGATTGAACATAAAAGCCTCTAAAGGCATATAGTGAACAGAGGATCTCTCTTACTTGGGGTTCTCTGCAAATAAATTCTCTCAAATTGTTCTTTGTGAGCAAAAGGAAGAACAGAAGGCACAAAGCATTATTGAATTTTCATTGGAATAAATGCACTATTAATAAAGTACTAAAACTCTAAGTTGAATGGCATTCCTCTTATTTTTCTTCTGCGTGCAAATCTGAAAGAAATTTTTTTTTTTTCAGATCCCCGTCCATGTTTTGAAAGTAATGGATAATGAGGGTTGAAAATGTAAAATGAGTGAGAAACGAAGGTGGCTTTTGCAAAGTGATAGGCTCCATCTTCCACAAATAAATAAATAAATAAAATTGTCGTTGCCTCGACTATAAATTCAATATATAATATTAAAAAATTAATAAACCAGAGAAAATTTAAGAACATCTTGGTAGACTTTATATTTTACCTGCTTCTTTTACATCAATGCAATGTGCAAATATAATAAAATTTTTTGGGCTAATAAAGTCGTAAAGCTTTACATTTTATAAAGATAAATGAGGTTCACGTGGATTTCCATCATATATTTTAACCATTAGTTCTTTTTCATTAGAGTTTTTTTTTTTTTTTTTTGTTAAAAAAGTAAATAAAAAGAGGATACAAATCCTTTTTTATAATTTAGTAAGCAATGTTAAAATGTCATAGCACAAAAACATTTTAAAAGCAACCAAAAAATAGTGAAAAAAAAAATTAAATTTTTAAGTTGTGATCCGAAATACAAAATAGTCCTAATTACCAAATTCTTAGTATAATTAAAAAATTTCCAGTGAGAAATTTGATCGTCACTATATATATATAAATTCATATATTTGTAGAAGGAGCTAATTCTATGTAGAAAATCCAAAGTTTTGCTATAGTTAAAGCTCTAACAACAGTACTTCATATCTAGTTTTTTTTAATTCTCATCAAAATATAATAATTTATAACTCTTATTTTGTGCAAGCCTGCTTAATTATTGAAAAATTATTCTATAAGAACATCTGATGCAGTCCAGAGTCGAATCATAGCGCGCTACATCACCCTTTTATTGTGTAGTACGGCTATATACAGGGTGATATGGCTCGCTCTAATTCGTCTCCGAATAATCCGATACCTGCACAGAATAAATCTCTCTTAATTATGACACACAAAAAATATATAAATTCGATAATTCTAAAAGAATATTAATTTTATAAATAGAAAAGATTTTAATACTATATATGCTACCACCAATATAGAAACTACAATAAATATTACACGATCGACAACTTCTTCAACGTGAGAACTTCAGTTAGATTTCATTCATTTTCGAAACAGCAATATATATATGCGTCGATCATGAATTGTAGTAGCCTTGCTTGTACTGGGAGAAGAGTTTGTCGGTCTTGGATGCCCGGAAGGCAAAGCAGCCTGCAACGTATATGAAGATAAGGGCAACGAGGGCGAGGAGAAGGATGAGATCGGCTCGTCTCCATTCCCGGCTTAGGTTGGCGAGGAGACCGGCCTTGCAGGAATCGCAAGCGTAGCAGAGTTGCGTCTGATCATTGCTCCACTGCATGCAATCGCCTTCTATCTTTGGGTTTATTGGGCTAATCCAATATGTTGGATTGACGAATGTGTATCCACAGTCTGTCGGTGGCTTGCAGCATCCTGACTGAGCAAATTAAATGTAGAGGATTAGCACATTAAGCGTTTGATATATTTTGGGGAATTGACAAGTTGATATGAGATCTTAAAACTTGTTTGTTCTGAAGGAATTTCATTGAAGATGATACCATTTGAAAAAGATGGTGCTGTGATTGTCCTTAGAAGTTTTTGCAAATAATATATGATTATGTTATGACTGCATTTAAGGTTAACCAACATAATAGAGTGAATAGCATAAAAATATATAGCTAATTTTGATCTATTGGTTAGGAGCTTGACTATCAACTAAGATGTCTTGAATTTGGAGTCGGACAGCCCGCATATGAATTTATCTTAATTGACATAAATGCCAAAAGAAAAACAGAAAAACAATTAACCTGGTCGAAGACCTACCAATATCCTTCTTCCACTACAAACATTTCAGATATAAATCTTCTTTTTGTTTTAGCCTTCATCTTAAATTATTGAGAAATTTGATGATTACTCCTATGACCATTAAGATACAATCTTTTATTGAAGTTTTAGCTCTAGCTAATTTATCTTATCCTTGACTTTATCTTTTCAACAATAATATTCTTTTCATTTTTAAGAAAAGTATTTATATACAGTAAAAATGTTATCTTTTAATCTTTATATTTCAAAATTTAAGATAAATTCTTTCATATGATTTTATTTTAAATTGAAAGAATTTATTTTAAATTTTAATTCCACCACTAACTCGTATCTATATAATTACATATAGGGGGTGTCAATTTAGATCAACGGGTACGGGTCAGGTTCGGGTCGAACCCGACTTGACCCGGGCACAAATGAGTTGACTCGAATCTGACCCGTTTAGCTAAATGGGTCAGGATTTCAAACCCGAACCGACCCGTATGGGTTGCCTGGTTGACCTGGCCGGATTCGCAAACCCGCGTGCGCAGTTGATAGGTCTCGTCATCTTGGGCTTGGGCAGTTGGGCGTCAACGCGCCGTGGGCGAATGTGAATGGCGACTGGGCTGAGTACGTAGGGCTTGGGTGAGGCGAGGTCGAGGTTGAGCGCATACCGCCTGAACGTCGTCGGAATGATAGAGTGATGCAGTCTGGCACCTGGGCGTACGTAGGAGGTTGTGCACAATCACACTTATGTGGGCTGGGTGAACGTAGCTAGTGTTCGGTGAGGCCACAGGTGCGGATATGCCATCCGTGGCGACTAGGCTAGGCGGAGACGAGGGTCACTACGCGAGTTAACAGGGTTAGCTAAGTTGACCCGCGGGTTTTTGGGTCAACCTGAATTCAAACCCATTTTTCATATAAGTCAAAAATTCAAATCCGGACATGACCAATTTTACAAACGGGTTGACAAGATCCCAGATTTTTCTAGGTCGAGTCAAAGTCAAATTTTGAGTTTTGTCAACTTTTGACACCCCTAATTCTATAGTTGAAGAATCAAAATATCATTAGGTCGGAATACAACAATAGTAAATACAAGACACACAAAATAATTACTACTAAAATTTTATTTTAAAGTACTCATAAATCATTAACCTAAAAAGCCATCCATGCACTAATATTCAATCAAATTTTAGTAAAGAATAATGTCTAAAAAATAACATCTTTATTATAGTTTTAGCCCTTTACATTTTCTTAAAAGATTATGAATATTAATAGTTAGGTTTATGTACAATCACAAATTTAAGAAAAATAAATATAATTTAATGAAGAACTTTTAAATCAACATTATCTTAATGTTATAAATTTTTATTTAATCACATAATGTACAATTTAGAAAAAAAAAAGCAGTACATTTAAAAATTCTAACGTGGATTGAGCTTAGATATAAATATATAATTATATCTCCTTAGAAAGAAAATCTCTAATTAAAATCAGTGGAAGTTAAAGATTCATTAAAGCCCAGCCCAATATTTCCATATTAGTACGGCCTATAATTTTTTGCTAAATAGGCTTGTTCCGTGTAGGTCTAGCCCACCTGTGAAAGCAAATTCTAGTCCGACTTCTGTTTGGCAAGTAGGCATTTTTTATGCTTATTTCGTTATTAAAACAAAATCAAATTGTGACTAAATTTAGTAATTTACTGCTCCTAATTAATATATATAATAAGATATATATAATAAGATTTGCTAAATAATTTTCATGTAACAAAGTATCAGTAAAATTATTATTGGACATTTTGACTGAAATTTCTCAGAATAAAAATTTCAGTTGAAATAAGTGGAATTTATTTTAGATCAAAAGTTAAAAATTTATTTCATGTATCTTAAAATAAATTTGATAATTATTAAATTTTTAATTATGATATAAAAAACTACTCATTTGAATATTTAAAACTATTTAAAATTATGTTGCTTGGATCCCATATGGTCTCTAAATCAACCACGGAGAACAAAATTATATATGAATCATATATGTTTAAGGTCAAAACAAGAGACTTAATGAAAAATCCAACAAATTCAAGATCATTAGATTTTGAAGCTAATTAGCATTTAAATATTAGATAAATAATCTATCATCAAAAGATTTGATATGAGCCAACAGTTATGTAATGTTATTGAGTTTTCGTTAAATTTTTGAAAATTTTGAGTTTAAAAGTATTTTAAAAGTATTTTAAATAAACAACATGAAGGGGACAGACAAGATATGAGAGAGAGCTTGGGGATATGAAATAACTCTTAAGAGTTATATTTGACGTTCAATGCTAAAGATTATTGTCAGTCATTGTCATCACTCGACTGTCATCATTTGATCACCGATCACTATTGCTTGACTACAAATATCCAACCACCATATTATGATTTCAATCATCTGTCTACTATTGTACAACCTCTCGCTCGACTGACTTCATCAAACTATCGATCATTGTCCCTTAATTTCCATCATTCAACCGTCACATTCCAACCATTGTCACTTCACTATCATAGTTAGACCATCATCGTCCAACTAACTTCATTTAACTATTATTACATCTTCAACATTATTCCTCACATTTACAAAATGACACAATTGTACATGGCCTTGTCTTCTCTAATTTAGGTGAAGAGCATCAGTTTGTAACATATCTAAATAATAACTCATTTTATATGAGTCAAGCCTTATGCTTTTTTCTCTTTTAAGAGTTTTCACTTAAAAAGGATGTATATGCATGCTATATTTTTTTTTATTATATGCGTTAGATCTCTGCGAAAAGTTAATATGCAAAAATCACTCTTTATCATCATGGATTTCTAACACAATAAATTTAATCATAATTTAGTGTAAATAAGAAAATTCATGAGCCCCTCACTTGGAAACCAACACATTGCGACCTAGACAAAACTCCATCATAGGTAGGATTATATCAATACTTAATGCATTAGAGATCCCATCATTATTTTGCATGCCCATGCATGAAATTAAGTATATTTATTAACTAAGCTAATCTCTTTAGCTTGTTTTATTATGAAATTAAAAAATAAAAAGTTTTAGCTCGAAATGTTCTTCAGGTCGTACGTTCTCATAATAATTATACTTATCACTGTTTTTTTATATTCTAAAATTAATGGGCAAACTTCATGGCCAACACAAACTTTAGTGAGGATAAGTAGGTGGCGTCAACCGGTCTTTGAGCCTGACTTGTGCATGGCATTATCAGCGGTCGCTATAGTTGAGATTGTGTGGAGTCAAACTCTCTATTTAGGGTAGAACTTTCATTGGCAAATTTGTACGTACTCTCTTTTCCCACACTCTCTCCCTGTCTCTTTTTGTTCTCCACTAAAAACAGATTAGTAAATGATATTCAATGCACAAATGATGCAATCTTTCAAGTGAAACAAGAAAAAGAGAGAAGAAAACTACTCAATCCAACTCGCAACGCCGCGGTGCTAAGGTCTAGAGTGTTGCGACACTCCACTCTTTGTCATTGCAGTCTATATTGCCATGACGTGGAGGTTTGGAGAGACATAATGCTCCATTCTCTATCTCCAACTCAAGCTTAGAGCATTTCAATGTTCCAACAAACAGTGTTGCAACGCTTGTATGCAATTTTTTTCTTGGGGGCCGAGGCCTTTGAACCCTAAGCACGGAAAGTGCTCCCCCCCTGCAACCCTACGATAAACTCGACTGACATATTTATGTATGAGATAATAATACAACTCAATTAATTGACACATTCAAGTTCTGCATAAAACTAACATGCAACTTCTATTTTATCTTTATATGTGTTAGATCATCATACAATGTTAAAACAACAAACTATCTAATTTTATCATTACAAATATTTTGACATGCAATGATGATATATGAATGCATATTAAAATTTTTTATGGGCATACACTCTCTCATGCTCCTCTTTAATCCGTCCTAATTTGATAGGATGAAAATTAATATTGATAATAAAGTCACATATTATGGTTCTGTAGATACCAGAGTCTTTGGAGAAGCACATTTCATCAAATCTGTCTCCTCTACGGCTCTACCTCTTCGACTTCAAGATCTAGTTGCTGCCTCAAAGAATTTTTATTACATCCGGCGTCCTGACGTAGCACTACGTTCGAACGTCAGTAAAATGGTGCCACGTGCTCCTATTCTTTGCCGTGCAGCCCGACGACCCGACCCGGACACGGACTCGGTATTGCCATGTATTGGCTGATTTGTGTAGACCATGATATTGCTAGGTATTGCTCGGTAACGAGAAATATCATTTTATCACGACCAATACATAGCAATACCGAGTAATACCAAGCAATACCCCGGTTTTTCTAGGTATTGCTAGGTATTGCTCTTGATAGAGCGGTATTTCTCTTTATTGTCAAGCAATACCTAGCAATACTTAGCAATACACGAACATAGCAATACCGGGTTCCGGTCCGTGTCAGGTCGTCGGGCCGAACGGTAAAGTGTAGGAGCACATGACGACATGTTATTGGCATCCGAACGTAGAGCTATGTCAGGACACCGGACTTAATAAAAAATCCTCCTCAAAAGGCTTCATACCCTCCAAAATTGAACTTCCTTCCCCGATCATACATATCGTTGGGATATAAATTACTGCTAGCACCTAATTAGCTCATGTCGATGTTAGCTAGCAAATATCTAGGAATGTTAAAAGCCTAGCTATAAGGCTTTATTAATTTGGGACAACTTAAAGCATTTTTTTAGCAAAAAAATTTTAGTAAAAAAATAATATTATATTAAAAAATTGCTTTAAAAAGAATAAAAAATTATCACAAATGAAGCCTAAGTCACATAAACTTGATCAATTCAATGGATAAATACAAAAAAAAAATTGTTTTACTAATAATTCAAGCAATTTTTTAGTGTCATTTCTAAATTATTTTTATTTGTGTCAGTGCAAAAATTTCCATATAAATATTAGCCATGAATATTCTAATTTCATAACAATAATATTTTGTTAAGTGACTCTAAATTAGTTATAATCTATCAATGTATGGCTAAAAGACTAAAAGGATGTTGGTGAAAAGGATAGATAATCTTATTTTTGTTGTTGTTTTTTTTTTTTTTTTGGTAATTGTTGGTAATTGAAAAATATTTTATAAATTTATATTTAAGGTTTGTTTGATTTCAAATGTCTAAAGTTTAGGAGTATTTTAATTCATTTTAGGTATTTGAAATACTTATAATATTTTGGTTGATTTTAAATTAAATTCAAGAGATTTTTTTTTCTTTTATTTTAAAAATCATTAAAAAAGTTGTGCCAAACAAATCCTAAGTTTATTATTAAATTGGATGATCATCAAATTTATATATATATGTTTAATCTTTTGTGTGGTGTAATTTGGTTAAAAAGAACGAGTGTAGCATCAACATATATTCATGCCAATTTATTGTTCGTTTCAATTTTCAATTATTTCACGATGGTTTACTAATAATTCAAGAAAAAATTAACTCTAATATCTCGAATGAATGTACATTGTAAAATTCATATTTGTAAAAGTTTCAAAAATTAAGCAATCTAGTTTGATCTATTAATAAATTAGGTTTTCACTGCACTTTTGATAGTCTATTACAGTGATTTAAACACCTACTAATTTATTTGCAGCAGATTAAAAATTGCTGCAAATCCACTATATTTGTATTAGCTATAAAGGGTTTAGCAACAATATCATGTGTGCCGCCCAATTCATGTTGCTTTCTTGCCTTGGGCCAGACGGACACGGGATGTCGAGCAGGAGCTAGGGCACGAGCATGAGCACGAGAGGCAAAGTGGAGATATTAGTGATTTAGAAATTGTGAAAGGTTTGGGGCGTTTTGCAAACCGCCTCTATAAAAAGAGTTATGAAAAATTCAATTTTAGTAGCGGTTTTTACCGCTGCTTATATCAATTTATAGTGCGGTTTTAAAACTGTCAATAATAACTGTTGAGGAAATCTCATATTTTAGGTAGCGCCTATAAGTGGACAAAAATTTATATGAGAAATATTTAGTCCTAATGAATTGTGCTTAGGAAGCTCATGTTCTGTTAAAAAATAATTCTCGAAATAAAATAAAGAGAAAATCAAAATAGACATCAAATATAAATTTATGAAAAATTTTATCGTTTATAATGGGAGAAAAGCAGTACTCACTTGAAGAGGAGTTAAGCTCGCATAAAAGAAATCTTGTGCGAGGCGATACGTCTGGTTGAGCTCCGAACAAGTACTGGTAGAGCTCAAACATGTTCGAATTCGGTCCCACTTCTCTGAACTCTCCACTCGCCGGCGCAGCCAGCCTGAATAATCCTCGAGCCGGTATTCCTTATAAATCCGATTCGGAACCGCTCGTTCCGACCCACCACCGGTAACCACGAAAATAAATATCACGAGTGCTGTGAGGAAGAGGATGACCAGGAGCATGGCCACTAGGTAGAAGAGTAGCAGTGAGGGAAGACGCCATAGGGCTCCGACGAAGCCGGTGAGACCGATGAGGAGGACAATGATGCCGGCAACGATGACCGGCCATTGGAGGAGCTTGACGCAAGAGTTGTCAGTCTGTGTGGTTAGCCAGATGCCGGCGGCGATGATGGGGATTGAGAGTAGCATGGCGGCGAAGTTTATGCCGGCGATAAGAGTGTTGCTTAGGGCCATGGGTTGCTTGGGGGGTGAAGGGGAGGAGGAGGAGAGTGATTTAATAATGGAGACAGAGAGAATATTATGTATCGTTGGGAGATTTTGATGGGCAAAGGATTGATACCAAGCAAAGAGAGATGCCTTGCTTTTTTTGTTGGGTTGAGTTGTAATGGCATCTAAGATAATTTCTTTTTCAAACTTTCCATATGTTTATGACATTCAGATTTACACACATAAATTGAGTGTATATAATCATATATTCATATTTGTGAGCTTGTCTTTGGATTTTGCATTGGTACTTTGAATCATTTTGAGTCAGAGATTTTAGCCAACTATGCTAGGGTTGTGGACTAGAGCTTTGACCTTAATAAGATATTGGGTCATGATGAGGCCACTCATGGATATATGATGTAGTTATGTTGGAGTTGCTTTGAATTTGGTACGACTCGTACGTATTTGTTCATGTCATTGACTGTTGTTCACTCGGCAGATGTGTCGGGAGTCCAAGGGGGCAGTGCTCCCTTGTAGGATTCGACCTGCCCGGTAAGGTCGCGGCTGCCCCTGCGGGGGTTTTTCGGGCCAGCACTTCTGGAATAAATTTTGATTGTAAGGGTAATTTTAGCATTCCGCTTATTTTTTCGATGCCCTAATTTTATCCTATAGGTTGTAAAGAGCTTAGGGTTTGGGCCGTTTTTGTACTCTAACTTTTGTTTTCTCTACAGTGCAGTTGTGATTCTCCTCCCTCGTGGTTTTTTCCAGTTTTGGGTTTTCCACATAAATTTTCTATGTTTGTTTGTGTTTCGCAAATTGTGATTTATTAATTCTTTTTGTGTTCGGTTCGTCGTACCCTAACAAATTGGTTTGTCATTTGGATGATTCAGGAGAGGTTTGTGGGTTGAAAATGAAGAGCCATGGTCATCTAGATATGGAAGCAAGAGCCTAAGTAGAATATTTTTATAATCATTAAACCCTTCTAAACTTAATAGTAAAAAGAAAAAGAAAATCAAAAGAACTGTCCACGACTGTTATCTTCAACCGAAGGACGCTTAGATGACTAAATTAACAAGGATGAAACTCATAACAAGTAAAATTATTGGAAAGCCAAAGTAAACAGAGGTGCAGGTAATAGAAGCCGCTAGAGTCAAAAGTTACAAAGCCATTGGATTCAAGATCACACCAACTATGAAGATAAGCGCAACCTTAACCAAAACAGCTGCGATTCCCATTTTAGAAACCCAAAGTCGCCAACCAAAGCTTGCCCGAACATGTTATCCCAGAAATAGTACTCTCAGCTCTCTCCAAAAGCCAAGAGAAATTATTCTGTGCGGAGACCGGACGAAGAACGCTGTTCGGAGATCAACATGAATGCATCAAGTCAACGGTACCGAGTGCAGGGGTGACATGGTGCATTCTGGTTGATCTCCGGACGATCGACGTTCCGCATTCGCATAGAATAATTAATCCCAAAAGCCGCCGCGTGGTTATTTTCAAAACTCCAATGGTAGCTTCCAACAAAACAATCAAACTAGCTCCCATGGTAACAACAACCATCCACCTCAATTCCAAACAATCAGATAACAAACTTGTAAAGGTCAATTTCATCTCTCCTATTTACACTGAAATTCTTAGAAGAATTTTAGATAGTTCAACCGACACTTATGTAAAGAACAACATATGCATAGTTTAATGAAAAATAGCACATAAATATACAATGAAAAGTAAAAAACAACACTAAGTCCTATAAGTAATTGAACTGCCAAAACACAAACTGGTCTTTTTATTTGTTCGTCTTAACGCCTATGTCATTCATTTTATGACCATAATAAACTTAGAGCATCTCCAACCGAACATCAAACTAGCGTATGGCGTCGCTCGGTCGCTCCAGCCGAACACCAAATCTTCTGCCATTTACTTGCAGGTGGCACTGTTCACCTACGCTATTTTGCTCTCTCAATCTGAAAAAACACGCGAAAGGAAGAATGATTGTTACCTTCGCAGAAGCACATAAAATGGGGTTCGATTGGAGCAGCATTACCGTATTTTGGAGTTTTGTTGTACTTTACCGTGAAAAATGGAGTTCTCCGTTGGAGATGCCCCTAGATCTTTGCGGCACATTTGGTTCATCCTAAATCAGGCAACTTATCTTGCTTGGTAACTTCCACTTGGATATAGATTTTTTTACTTTGTTAAAATTTTGGCCATCTTCTTAATTTACGAGCTTACAAAAAAGTAAAATAAAAGTAAGCATGCCTAAAAAAACCTGCAGTCTTGTATTTTGTTTGAGAAACATTGCATGCGCTTCTATTGCGCTAAGATGATGAAGCTCCATGGCTGACTCAATATAAGAATGGCATATTTTTTGAACCACCATAGCAACATTAGCATTACACAACTCTCCTTGGCCTATTGGTTGAAAGCTTAGGCTTCCAACTAAGAGGTCCAAGGTTCGAGTCCATGTGTATGCGTTGTGTGTGTGAGTTTGCCTTAAATGGCCTAAATGTCCCAAAAAAAAAAAAAAACATTAGCATTAAAATCACACCACATGCCATCATCATTAGCCTTAATCTAATTATTTGTGGCACCACACACATATAACATAATATGGAAAAGATGTGAAATTTCAATGACTAAGCTAAATTTATAAGAAATTAAAATGTTCAAGAATCAAGAAACTGGACATAATGTTTGTTCATTCATTTTGGTTGAGTAATATTTGAAATGTTCAAGAAAAGAAATTACTCTATCTTTTTCAAAAAATGGAGTCAAATTAATGTCAAAGAAATAGATAGTCAAAAGTGTATAAAGCTTACTTCCCACAAATAGTTAGATAAGATTACTTAATAATGCTGATGGACAATGCTCCTTCCTTGGAAGAGATTAGTAAGTGTGCCTAGCACTAACATATTATCTTTTTTTCCTTGCTAAGGATCCCTTTGGTCAATGTTGTGATTAGTCCAAATTTATAGTTGTGATTTCTTTAGTTTAAATTCCTGTGTAACTTTTTGTGCTATTATTAGTGTGTGTATATATATATGATATTGTTTGTAATAAAGTAAGCAATAAGATTGTTTTGTATTTTGCTCTCTCTCTCCCCTTCCCTGACGCCGGAGTTGAGTTGTTTAATTCTATTACTTCATACTAGATTAATTCCGTACGGTGGTTTATAAGGATGTATAGGAATGTTCTTTTTTCATTGGAGTGTAGCCTATTATGTTGCTCTATTTTTGTTTATATATACATGTAGACATTGCTTGTAATAGGTAGATTTTTAGAGAATAAAAAAATAATTTTTTAAAGGCTTTATGCCTTGTTATTTTGAATTCATGTATTCTAAGATTTGATCTTAAATAAAGGCTTTTGACATGTTACTTTTGACTCTTGTATCCTGAATTATATTATTCATTTGGTAGATTCTTCTTCCAAGTTCTTGGATTTGTGCTCGGACACGGCCACCGAATCATTGACTTGGATTCGTCGAGCCCCCTCCGGTTCAGAGTCATTCTCTCTCTCCCAAGATGCTCAAAAAGAACTTCCTTAAGAAGATCTTACATTCAATGCTTAAAGAACAATACTCCCATCACACGTATGATGTAACGAAATAATATTAAGGTTTCATTTGGGACGGTTTTTTTACTGCTTCTTAAATCAATTTTCTTCTACAAATATTTTAATTTTTCTACGTCCCAAACGAAACCTAAATATTAATCCATTTCATCAAAGCCATTTTTTGTCTGAGTTTCTCATTGTAGAGATCTAACGATCTTTAATGAATGGTCTTACGCAGTATGCACTGTGGTGGTTGAGATATCTGAAACCAAACAGTTTCTAGTGCTACTTTTGAGAAATGGTCCCATGGGGAATCAATTCCATTTCTGACGTGCAAATCTCCAATTTTTGTTACTTTTGAGAAAGGGGCATCTTATTACTTACTGCTACAGTCTGCTGAGTAAAAACTTGAAAAAATCACTTCAAAGGCTTGATAAACAATTGGATTGTAATTGCTTTTCATAACTACATAATTATTGGCAATATACTTTGAAAAAAAAATTGTAAAAATCTTCTCTCCTTCTTCGTCAAGCAAGGGTACGTGGAAACAAGAAGAGCTCAGAGTGAGCAATTGTCTATCCTGAAAATTTTTTTTCTTAGAAAAATAAGTATTTAACTATTTTGCTTATCGTCAATAAAAGCAATTGCCCAAATTCTAATTTTTTTTTCTTTCATATATAAAATTATATTTTTCATAATACTATTTTGTCAATCCTCAAAAGAAAGGTTAATTCTGCCCTCGACATTAAGATGAACTTTAACACTTATATTTATGTCAAAATTAATTATAATATGTATCATTAATTTCTGTGCAAATTTAAGAATTTAAAAAGAAATCTCGATGTAAAATATCATCAAGATATATACTTAATTTTTTTATCAATATGCTTGCAATAGCATCCATTTGAAATGAAATAAATGATCTTTTACAATTTACATGCAACAACATATTTATTTATTTTTTCTTTTTTATTTTTTCTTTTCTGTCAAAGTGATCGCAACAAGACAATGGAGATAAGGTGAAAGAATATTATTTCTATCACTGCCCCATTTGAGAAGGATTGAAGACCTAAAAAAAGTTTTACATTTCTCGACTGGGCATTATTCCTATGTTCAACATACTAATTATTTGGTTTTTTTTTTTTTTTCTTATTTTGAATTTTATTTTGCCTTTCACAGTGACATGTTGCACTTTCATATAAATTTAAATGAAATGATATTAGCATAATAATTAATATTATCTCAATTATTTAGTATATACATATGTAAATTATTTATTTCGTTTTAATTGTTTATTTATATCGGCCTCAAATGGTCCCATGGGGAATCAATTCCATTTCTGACGTGCAAATCTCCAATTGTTGTTACTTTTGAGAAAGGGGCATCTTATTACTTACTGCTATAATCTGCTGAGTTGAAACTTGTAAAGATCGACTTCTCTGTCCATTTAGCTTTTTATCTCATACTTTTTTTTTAATAAAAACACAGAATTTATTTCAACAAAATAAAAGGGGTTACAACAAGCTAACAAGCAGGAAAGAAAAGGCTACAAAGAAGTACAAGGATAACGACCCAATAGGCT